TATGAAGCATGTTAATAAAATTAATGAAGCTGTCATAAAACATTATAACCTAAACATTAGTCATGCCTACCTATGTGCTTTTTCCCATTCTGTCTCCTGCCTTTCTCACACATAACTACTATGAGTTTTATATTTTATATGTATATTCAGGTTTACATTTTTCAGTTTCTTGCCTCTTCATATATGATTTTCTCATGTATGCAAGTAATTAATTTTGCTTGTGTTTAAGCTTTCTAAAAAGGTTTGCTTTCGGTACATAGTGTTCTGGATGCTTTTTTAATTTAAGATGTTTCTAAGATTAAGTTTAACCATTTTTATATGTTTATTATACTTTTATAATATTTACTTCAGGAATTATTTCTTTGTATACATTGTCCATTTTATAGGGATATTCTTTTTTACTGGTGTAGGTAATTTTCAAGATATATTCTTACTCTAAATTCTCTGGTTTTAAGATTTTTTTCTCTTACAAAAGTATCATTTGGAAGTTTTGTTGATTGATAATTCAGACTAATTGATCTCTCAATTCTATTTTCTGAACTTATTTAACTTCCCCGTAGGAAATAGTAATTACTGTTTGCTGCTATAGTTAAAAGGTTATAACAACTTGTTTTATTATTTGAGCATAAAACCCACCGCAACTTAAGTTGCTTATTGCACCATCTTTCCTGCTTGTGTGTGGCCGGGTTACTCTGTGGAAGTTTATCAAAAATGATGCAGTGCAGATATTCACAATATACCCTCAGCGGTTTTCATAATAGAAAATATTTAAAAATTGTATTTATGGCTTTTCAACTGAAAGTTTTCTGATGTCAGTTTTCATTTCTAAAGGTTTGCCCTTTCTACGGGACTAGAATACTTTAGGCTGGGAATTGTACATTAGGATTTCAGAAGGGCTTTGCATGTCTGAGAGAGATGTTGGGGCTTTGCTATCTATGCAAGAGGTATTCATATAGATAAAGTATATCTGTGTGAAAGTGAAGTAAAAGCAATGCCTAGAGCAATAATTTCCAAACTTTCAGGACCTGAGCTCACTCAAACACTTTGAAAGACACCCACTGGCACTTGTAGATAGAAAAAAAGAACTTAATTGTATCAAAAAATTACAGAAGAACAAAATCACAACAAAAAACACCATAAAATATGTGGACACATTTAGTGCATTAAGCTAAGGCATTTTGTTTTCAATAATATCAACAATGCAGGGAAATGGTTAAGTTTTTTATAAGAACCTAGAGAGGCCTTATAATTTTGGTTCAGTTTGCCAGCCTTAAAATGTGGGGATTTTAAAGACCTTCTCATTTTGATTACTATCCCTTGACATTGTCAATGAGCTAAAATAGAAAGTATGCTGAGACATGGTCAGTGCTTATCTTCGACTGCTCCCATTGAAAGTGAAGCTTTTACAACAGAAAAAATAACGTAGGGATTTTAAGGGGAAGAGATGAAAACTATGGGACCGGAAGAGTGGCTCTTTTAGAATACATAACAATAGAGACGTAGGGCTAAAACACTGCTGTCTCTTACTGAGGTGAGTGCTCAGCCCTGTGTGAAAGTCGTCAGCGAAGTGGCAGTTGTTCCGGGTTCTGGCGCCATCCTCCTTCCCAAGTCTGTCCTCCTATGGAACCTGAATCAGTTGTGCTGCACAGGGCAACTCTAATTTTCTTCTACATGAACATTATTTTTCTAAATTTTTTTCCACCTTTTTTTTTTCAAATGTTTGAAGAAACTGGATTGCGTGTCTAGGTTCCCTCCTACCTGGGATGAGCTTGCATGGCCTCTGCTGCTGTGTTTACTTGATGTGGTTTTAGGGCCACTCAGCAGCCTTGATATCACGTCCTATGTGTTCCTTCTCCCGGTGCCCTTTGTTCTTTGCTAGATTATACTTGTCAAAGTGTAACTTCTTTAACTTCTCACTAGTGAGTCAGTAAGACTGAAACCTATATAACTAAGCACACATTTAAAAGAATCTTACGTGATGTTTTTTCTGTATTATAGATTCCCAGCAAGAGATTTCTTTTAAATTTCAGATGAGAATGACATCCCTCAGAAGTTGACTTCCAAGTGAAAGAACCTGCCTGTTTCTTGGCAGATAAGCATGCTTCGTGATGGAGTGTTATGTTTTCTCAACATGTTAAACAAATGCATTTTTATTTTTGTTTTCAGATAGTGGCCAGAACTGTAGTGCCAGTAGTAAAAGTGAACGGCTAAGTGCCAGACTCAGCGCTTTGCCTGGGACAAACGAGCCTTATGAAAGTAGCAGTCACAGAGAAATAGGCAAGTGCCCCTGCTCCCACCCAGCCCCACAGGTGCACCAGGCCTGAAGACTGGTGAGATGGCAAAAATGTATAATTGGGCGTTAAGAATTTCATACAAAATTTATGGACAAAATTTAAATGACTTGGAGAGTATTTCTGTTCACCCTTGAGTTGTTCCGTTTTGATTATGAAACTAACTGATTTCACGTTTGTTTTGTTTTTCATATCCCTCTAATGTAACCATCTGTTTTGAACCTAGATGCCTCCTATGTGGACCCACTTGGCCCTCAAGCAGAAAGACCAAAGACTGCGGCCAAGAAAAGAATTGAAGAGGATGATTTTGCTGATGAAGAGTTAGGAGATGATTTACTTCCAGAATAATATGCACATTATATGTTATTTATTAAAGGAAAGAAATTGCCTTGTGAGATAATACTAATGTTAAACCTTGGGTTAAATATACAAACTTTAATTTTGTACACTTTAAAGGCATTTATGTAAGTGTATTCTGTTCTTTAAGTTGGGTGTAAGTCTTGTTTTGTTTCCAGTGGAATTAAAATGTGTGAAACGAATTCTTTAGGCCCATGACTCTCTCATCCATTTGAAAACACTGACCCCAGAAATAAATAAGTTTCGTTGCACAATGAAGTGTTAACCTTTATTACTTCAGTGTATGCTATTTTCTATAATTTCACTTAAAAGTGTTATGATGAAAACTGCACTGATTTCATGGGTTGTAGCTTGAAAAATACTGTGCTAGGGACATATCCTTACTGAATCTTTATTCAAGCTACATTATTTTGAGTTTGGAAACTACAGCTTAGGAATTTTTGCCTGCGGAGGATGATAATACTATTAAAACAATATGTTTGGGGGCAGTACAAAGTATAGTAAGAGAAAATGCCAAACCACGACCCGTTGCTTTTTCCTGTAGTGTCTCTGTGCCTTCAGCCCAGTGGCATGTACCCACAGCACTGAGCGGTGGCCGAGGGCGTAGGGAGGAGGCCGGGCCTGCCTGCGTTTCTCCTTAGCAGGTGTCTGGCCCATCAATACTCTGTAGAGGAATCATAGTGACTGCAGTCAGAAGAAGCTGCTCCTTGTGAACCCCTTGCTTAGAGAGGATGAGCAGTGGTACGCAGCCCTACAGCTGTGCTTGGTACTGGGGTGGCTGAGTGACCCGAGGATGGGAGGGAGGAACTGAAGATGATAAATCAAGTTCCCATGACTGCAAGGATGGTGACATCTTCAGTCAAGAACACTGGAGAGCCTGGCTGGTGTGGCTCTGGATTGGTGCCTGCCTGCCAACCAAAGGGTCGCCAGTTGGATTCCCAGTCAGGGCACATGCCTGGGTTGCAGGCCAGGTCCCCAGTAGGGGGCATATGAGAGGCAACAACACATTGATGTTTCCCTTCTCTCCTTTCCTTCTCCTCTCTAAAAATAAATAAATAAATAAAAATCTTTTTTTAAAAAAAGAACCCTGGAGAGGATTCTTTCTAAGGGAACATGGCAAGCTTGGTTTTGAGTATTCTGTTGCCTTTTTCTTGCTTGTATGTTTCAAATTTGGATTTAATTACATGCTGACATTGCATGTTCTTAAATATGTTTAAAAGGGGGGAACCGACCACAAACTGGATAACTAAAACACTTCACACCTATTTAGAAGATACTTTGTCAACTGTTTAGACTCACAAAGATGAATTTTACATTTTATCAGACACATGAGCATTTTCAGTACTTTGTAATCTTTCCCAAATGCAAACTGTTAGAAAAGAAATATTTTCTCTTCCACTTTAAAGGTAATGAAGGAAGAACAGAAAAGTTGCCACGTTAACGGACAGTGGCAGGCATTTTGTTGGGTAATGTACAGAATTAGTAGTCTGGTACCATACGACCTTACATGAAAGGATGTTATAGTGAGATATACTGAGTCTGTATGAAACATGTTCTCTCCCCCAAAGGACTCTTATCAAATAAAAAATAAACTTGAGTGTTGGTATGTTTATTTCCATTTCACCAGACCAGTCATAACATCTACTCATCAGAAAAAACGTTTTACACCTCCAAAAAAAGTTTACCCACTAAGAGCTGTAAATCGCTTAAACTGGAGATTTCAGTGGAATTTTTAGTAGTAAATAACATAATCCCTAAAACCCTTTATAGAATAATCCAGGCATATAGAAGTGTTGCTTTTCTACACAGCATAATCGAAATGTACTGGAGTCAGTGAATGACACCAAAGCTGAAAGCCATTCAGGGAGCTGAAACCTAAGTGTTTTCCACTCGTTCAAAAACGTTTTTAGTGGGTATCGATTTTTTTATTTTCAAAGTATTACTGCTGTAAACCATATTCGAGAGCCTGCCACCTAAAAAGCAAACAGTTAATTTGCGTAATGAACAAATGAGCAAATTTTCTTGTATTCTTGATGTATAACACGTACAATTTATTTCCTTTAATTTGTTCACAGGATAACAGGTTTATTTGCTGTGACTGCTTGCACTTACAATTTAGTTATCATGAAGTAGAAATCCCTAACCTTGGGATAAACCACGTGATGCCCACTTACAGCCATAAAAATACAAGTTGAGGGAAGATCTGGTACTTCGGATACAGAGTTGACAGCATAATATGAGTGCTGATACAGAGTTGATATTTTCTGGGAGCTCAGGGGAAAGGAGGAACTGCTTCCACTCGCCCTATTAAAGAAATTTTAAATTTTGTAATGTATTTCTTTGAACAGCGGAATGTACGAGAAAGTCGTCCTGCGGAAGAGTATCCTTGCAGGATGTTGAGTTCCCTTTTCGCGGGTGGCTCGCTGCGTTCTTGGAGCGCTGTAGTCGCTAGAAACGTCTCTCCACCCTGAGCCCAGTCCGTCCCCCTGACTTGGCCAAGTTGGCCCCTCTCATCCAGGCACAGTCCCGGCGGCGGGGGCGGCGCCAGCTCCGGCCACGGCCCCTCCTCGAGCCCCGACTCAGCCCCGCGGCCTGCGGTCCTCGGCGCACGGCTCGGTGTGACGGTCCCAACAGCATCCTCGGGGACATGGGGTCGCTGGTAAGTGCGCGCCAGCGGCGGCCGGCTTCCCGCGCCTGGTTAGTGCCTGGGTCCCCCGCGCACCGGAGGAGGAGCTGCCGGGACCCCCGCCCGGGCAGAGTCGGGATCCGGGCCGCGCGCACGCGGGCGGTGGGAGAGCGGCGGCGGCGGCGGCGGCGCGGGGACGGCGGCTCACAGGCACTCGCAGCCCGCGGCGCAACAGCCCGGCCGGCACACGCACACGCGCACGCCGCACGCGGCCCCCCTGCGGGCTCTGGGTCGAGATCCGGGCCGCGATCCGGGTGGGGCTGCGGGTGGGGCGCGCGGGGCGCGGGGCGGGGGCGGCGCGGGGCGCGCGGGGCGCGGGGCAGGCACGCGGGGCGCGCGGGGGCCCGTGTGCTCGGCGCCCATCCTCCGGCGCGGGCGCGCCTCTGACGGGCCTGTCCCGCAGGTCTGGACGCTGGCGGCCGGCGTGCTGCTGGCGCTGGCGCTGGCGCCCGGCCGGGCGGGTGCCCCGCGGAGCAGCCGGCGGCCGGCGCGGGGCTGCGCGGACCGGCCCGAGGAGCTCCTGGAGCAGCTGTACGGGCGGCTGGCGGCCGGCGTGCTCGGCGCCTTCCAGCACACGCTGCAGCCGGGCCCGCGCGAGCAGGCGCGCAACACCAGCTGCCCCGGGGGCCGGCGCGACTGGCGCTTCCGGCCGCCCACCCCGCTGCGCAGCGTGTCGCCCTGGGCCTACAGGTGAGCGGGAGGCTGCGGCGCGGGCGGGAGCGAGGGCAGCAGGGCGCGGGGGGGGTGTAGGTGGGACCCGGGGCGGGCGGGAGTTTCGAGGACTGACAACTGGGCAGGTGGGGTGGGGCGCATGCAGCGGGAAAGCTAAATGGATAGGTGGCCCAGGGCAGGTGGTACGACTGGGTTGGGAGCAATTCAGTGCCCAAGGCCCATCACCTCCCTGGAAGGAAACCCACTGTCCCGTACAGCTGTGCATCACGTGATGTCCGGGTGGGACGGTGTGTAGGGTGATGGTTCCTTACATTATAACCGAGCGATGATGTCACTAACCTATTGCCTAGTGACGTCAAAGCGGTCAGAACGTCACTAAGTAGCCTTAAAGACACATGAAAAGTCCCTCAGGGCATAACTGGGCTTCTCTGGACAAAAGGTACTCCCTTTGCATTTTTCGATGACCAGTGCTGACCTCTCCAGGCCCACAGATGCCTCCAAAGCAGGCCGAGGGCCTGGGGGCCACACCCGGGGAAGAGCCGCACAGAGCAGTCGCAGTGGTTTGTCAAAACTTCCCTTTGAGCGTGCCCTCAGATACCATTGGATCTCAGTCCTGTAGGAAGATAAATTCCAGTGTAAAATAATAAAACCATAAAAACACGGTTAGTTATATTTATAACTCACATGTTTCAGGCAAAATGGGGAGACAGAATGAGCAGCAGATGTTTTGGAGGGAGACAGATTCAGGACTGGACCCACTGAGTTTCACATGCCCGGGAGTGCATTATGTGCGACCAGCAAGCCGAAGATGTGGTCTCACAGATCAGGGCTGGAGTGCACATCTAGAGTTGTCAGCCCTACAACAGTGAGTTAACTGAGCAGCTGCCTTCCCTAGGAACTGACACCTGTGCCTCCCCCAGACCCACCCCAGAGCTGCAGGGAGGAGAGGAGGGCTAAGGGAGGTTATGGACAGGAACGGCACACAATGTTGGTGGTAGTTGGGGTGGGGGTGTCCTGGTCTGAGCTGCCCTGGCTGCCAGGGGAGCCTCTGTCCTGTACAGGGCTCGGAGCCAATGATATCATCAGAGTCATCTTTTCATATTATTTAGCAACACTGGTGAAATTCACTCCACCCCTGCTTTTTTCAGAAAGCAAGTGTGGAAGCCTGAGGGTTTGCGCTCTGAAGTCTTCTAGGGATGGGCCTGGGCCAGTAATGCAGATTGTTGGATGCTAAAGGGTCCTGCCTTCTGATACCACTTCTTCCCACCTCATCCAGGAGGGCCATGGGGGGGCAGGATCAGCTCCTCGGCGATGTTATGTGGGCCAGTTTTGGTGGGATAGTAAGTATTCAAAGCTAAAGACAGAGACAGCGTGCTTAAGAAAGATGGGTGGGGAAATGGACTCCAAGTCAGAAATTTTGAAAAACACAGAAAGGACCGCTCTAGGTGGATAAGACAGGCTTTAAAATAAAAATTTGGAATATGAGGTGGTTTTCCATATCTTTACAGACAGACAGATATTCAATAAGTGGTGTTGGGACAGCTGAATCCCGAAAAAAAATATGAGAAAAAAAAACGTGATTAGATCTAAGTCCTATATGAAAATAAATTTTAATGTAAAAAATCAGCCCTGGCTGGTGTAGCTCAGTGGATTCAGCGTGGGCTGTGAACCAGAGGGTTGCCAATTCGATTCCCAGTCAGGGCACATGCCTGGGTTGCAGACCAGTTCCCAGCAGGGGATGCATGAGAGGCAACCACACAATGATATTTCTTTCCCTCTCCTTCTTTTGCTCTCTAAAGATAAATAAATAAAATCTTTTTTAAAAACCACAAAAGCAGATAGAAACAGTTACATTTATAATCTTGGAAGATGAGGCCTACTTTGTAACCCCAAAGTCATGAAAGACAAGATTCATCAATTTAGTTACATAATTATATACTTCTTGGCGAAATTTGAAAAATAAATAAATAATAAAAATATAAGGGCAAACAGGGAAATACTTGCAGCCCATGTCACAAAGGACTCTTTCCCTAAAGAACTCCTCCAAACCAGTAAGAGGAAGACCTTGTGAAAGGATGACTGGGGGCCACGGACAGTCCCCGGGAAGGATGTCAAGTGATTCAAACACTTGAACCATGCAGAGATGCTGGACTTCAGGCACAGTGAGTGACATCAGGCTCTGTTTGGCGCCCACCAGGCTCTGTTGGCTGTAGGAAGAGGCACTCTCGTACAATAGAGGCGTGTGCATTGGTGCAGCATTTATGGAGGGCGGTTGGGTATTAACTATCAAATTTTACTTTTTTTCTTTTCTTTCTTTTAATTTTATTGATTATGCCATTACAGTTGTTCTATTCTCCCTTCATTCCCCTCCACCCCGCACCCCCCCACCCCTACCATTCCCCCCCTTTAGTTTATGACCATGTGTCTCAAGTTCTTTAGATTCTATATTTCCCATACTATTCTTGCCCTCCCCCTGTCTATTTTCTACCTACTGTCTATGCTACTTATTTTCTGTACCTTCTCCCCCCTTCTCTTCCTCCCACTCCCCTGTTGCTAATCCTCCACGTGATCTTCATTTCTATGGTTCACTCCTGATCTAGCTGTCCTCTTAGTTTGCTTGTTTTAGGTGTGGTTGTTAATAACTGTGAGTTTGCTGTCCTTTCACTGTTCATCTTTTTTATCTTCTTTTCCTTAGATAAGTCCCTTTAACATTTCATATAATAAGGGCTAGGTGATGATGAACTCCTTGAACTTGACCTTATGTGAGAAGTGCTTTATCTGTCCTTCCATTCTAAATGAAAGCTTTGCTGGATAGAGCAGTCTTGGAGTAGGTCTTTGGATTTCATGACTTGGAATACTTCTTTCCAGCTCCTTCTTGCCTATAAAGTCTCTTTTGAGAAATCAGCTGACAGTTTGATGGGAACTTCTTTGTAGGTGACTGTCCCCTTATCTCTTGCTGCTTCTAGGATTCCCTCCTTCATTTTAATCTTGGCTAATGTAACTATGATGTGCCTTGGTGTGTTCCTCCTTGGGTCCAACTTCTTTGGGACTCTCTGAGCTTCTGGATTTCCTGGAAGTCTATTTCCTTTGCCAGATTGGGGAAGTTCTCCTTTATTATTTGTTCAAGTAAGTTTTCCACTCATGGCTGTTCCTCTTCCCCTTCTGGTACCCCTATAATTTGGATGTTGGAACATTTAAAGATGTACTGGATGTTCCTAAGCCTCTCCTCATTTTTTTTGAATTCTTGTTTCTTCATCCTTTTCTGTTTGGTCATTTTTTTCTTCCTTCTGGTCCACTCCCTTGATTTGAGTCCCAGTTTCCTTTCCATTACTACTGGTTTCCTGTGCATTTCCCTTCATTTCAATTAGTTTAGCCTTCATATGTTCCTCTAATTTGTGACTAAAATCCACCAGTTCTGTGAGCATCCTGATCACCAGTGTTTTGAACTGTGCATCTGAAAGTTTGGCTATTTCTTCTTTGCTTAGAATTATGGGCTCTGGGACTTTGAGTTCTTCTTGAGCCATGTTTGGTCTGTTTGCCCCTGTTAAGTATGAAGAGCGGAGCCTTAGGTTTTCACCAGGGTGGGGCCGCCCAGGTCGCTGGGTTGTGACGCTATATGTGGGGGCAGGGTCAGAGCCGGGCATCCCCTCTGCTGCTTCCCGCCGCTGGGGCCTGCACGGTCTGTCTCACTGCGCGCTCCTTCAATGACTTATCTGCACTCAAACATGCAACCTCGGTCAGCCTGCCGCCTTGCGCCCTCACTGGGTCCGCCCGTCACAACCCCACATCTGGGGACTCACCAACCGCCACCTGCACGCCAGGGTCGGTCTGGCTGTTTTCCTGTGCAACCCCACTCTGCCAGCTGCTGGCTCCGCCCCTCTTACCAGTCTAGCTGAAGGGTTCCTTGTTGTTGGACTTCGGTAGTTTAATTTTCTGTGTTATGGCTGCGTATTTGTTTTACTAAAACTTTGGTGTCTTTAAACTTGGTTGTGCGAGAAGGCACAGCGTCTCCACCTATACCTCCATCTTGGCGAAAATCCCCTTAACTGTCAAATTTTAAATTCCCACACTCTTCCATCCAGCAGTTCTATTTGGAATCCTACACTTGGCCATGTTACAAATGATGTTGATTGTGCTAATAGCAAGGGATTAGAGCCATCTAAACTTCACCAATAAGCAATCCACTTGATAAATGTTCTAAAAGCAGCTACAGAGAGGAAGGGGGAAGGTCTAAAAGTACCTTCGTGGACAAGTCCATCGTCAGCATAAGGGAAGCAGGTGAGGTGCGGGGTGTGGGCAGCACTCTGCCAGGGGTGGTTAAGAGAGAAGCAGTTATATAACACAGGCATGTTAAGAGCTATTTTAAACTGTATGCACACATACATACACACACACACACACACACACTTTAGGGCATCTTTGGAATGTGCTTATCACTGTGCCCGTCGGGAGGTAACGGGCGGGAAGGAGACTTACAGGACACAAGAGGTCCTCTTGTATCAGCTGCATTTCCTGCCTTGTGCACGCATTCCTTATTTCAAAACATCTTAATTTTTAAATTGAGGCTAGGAAACCAAGTTCAGCAACCACAAGGGCAAGCAGATACTAAGGGAAGAAAGCCTCGGCAGGTAACTGGCCCTTGATTTACTGAGAGTGCAGGAGCAAGGGGTACGTTGATCTTAGGGGATGTAGGGCTAATGGCACGGCCCCTGCAGGCGTCCTGACAGAGTTCTCAGAGCCCCTGGGGACCCCACAGCTGGGCTGACCACCACGGAGGAGCTCAGCCTGTGGAGCGTAAGGAATTGGGCCAGGAACAGTCAGTAAATGGGCTCTTGGATGCCACCAGGGCACCTATGCTGCTGACCAACGTGTTACTAGAAAAGCACCATCAACCTCTAGAATAGAAAAATATTTTCTCATTTACTTTGTGTCCTTATGTTTATTTCTCTTGAGCTATAAAAACAAAAATGCCAAAATAAAATCAATGTGGTTGCTCAATATGTTTTTAAGCCAAATTG